TATTTAACACAAAACATTTACAACCCAAGATTTTCAAATGACCTACATTTGGTTTTCTCCCTTTAAATAACTCATAAGGAGTCATTTTCAAGATAGGTCTAATGAGCATTCTATTTAAAACATAACATGCAGTACTTACAGTATCGACCCAAAAGTATTTAGGAACTTTGGATTCATTCAACATAGTTCTAGCTAGTTCCTCTAAGGATATATTTTTCCATTCTACTATACCATTTTGTTGGGGTGGTCTAGGTGTAGAAAAATTATGTAAAATATCATTTTCTTCACAAAATTTTTTAAAAGATTCATTTTGAAATTTTCTTCCATGATCACTTCTTAATACTTTAATTCTTAATTCTTTTTCATTTTGAATTTGTTTTACAAACTTTTTAAAAACCTTAAAGGCTTCACTTTTCAAAGTTAAGAAAAATGTCCAAGTAAATCTAGAGTAGTCATCAACAATCACAAGAGCATAAAAATTTCCTCCAAAGCTTTTAATTCTAGATGGTCCAAAAAGATCTAAATGTAAGAGTTTTGAAGGATTTGAAGTTGAAACTATGTTCTTAGTTTTGAAAGATGATTTTACTTGCTTACCTTTTTGACATGCATCACATAATTTATCTTTTTCAAATTTTAGCTTAGGCAAACCAACAACTAAATCTCTAGAGATTAATTTGTTTAATTGATGCAATGAATATGAGCTGCTCTTTTATGCCACAACCAAGAGTTTTCTTCTTTAACAACCAAGCATGTTATATCAACATTAGATGCACAATCCAAATCAATCAAATAAATATTGTTATGCTTAATACCTTTAAATGTAATTTCTTTAGAATCCTTAAAATGTATGGTGTAGTAATTGCTTTCAAAAATTACCTTAAGTCCTTTATCACATAGCTGACTTATACTGAGAAGATTGTGCTTTAGTCCATTAACAAGGAGTACATCTTTTATCTCCAAAGTATTTGCACCACCTATGTTTCTGGTTCCAAGGATTTTTCCTTTGTTGTTATCTCCATAAGTTACATATCCTTGTTCTTTCTTATTGACACTTACAAATTTCTTTTTATCACCAGTCATGTGTCTTGAACATCCACTATCAAGGTACCACATTAATTTCTTGGATTTTAAAATTGCTTACAAAATAAGAACACAAAGATCTTAGGTCCCCATAACTTTTGGGTCCTTAGGGTTAGAGATAATCAAATTATTTAACTATAGGGGTTTTTGGATTTTAAAATTGCCTACAAAATGGACCCAGCCCCTTAGATAAATAAATTGAGTGAAGGAATAAAGAAAAAAAGAGGAAAAGAAGAGAATTATGGTGGTGGTGGAGTGTTGGCATGCCACTAGGGGATGAGCCACCCTAGATAAGTGGTGGTTGTCACCACTTGAACCAATATTCAAGATAAGACACTCAAAGAGATGGAACACTCTAAAAAATCTCACAAACTTGTCATAAAATGTTCAACCTAATTACATGAGGGGAAACCTTCTATTTATAGGCTTTCGGGGGAGGGACCTAGATGGAACTATAAAAGGAGACATAAACTTAACATAAACCTAAAGGTTGGAGTCCTCATGGTCCAAATTTGTTAAATTCGTTCTAACCCACCAAAAATACCTTTAAGGGTGTGGACAACATGAAAAAAGAGGTGTGCTTCCTTTTGAGTTGTCCCAAGCTAACCAATCCCGTATCCTAAGCTTCTTCCTCTCCAAAAAGGGGTGTAGGATATGAAAAATGAGTGTCATACGCCTTTGGGCTACCCATGCATGTATCCTATGGATCCAAGACTTCTTTTCTACCAAAAAAGGTGGTATTCTTCAAGAAGGAGGTGCAAAAAGTGAGCTTACAAAAGGAAAGCGAAAATAAGTGAAAAACTTAGAAAAAGAAAATACTAAGTAAATTCAAAATGGAAGGTAGAGAGGAAGTCTCCCTTCTAGTCATGCTTTTAGTAATCCTTCTAGAGATGACCTCTCTCGCCTCCGGGGCAACTAGGGACTCATCAGATATCCATTACCAAATAAAAATGATTTAATAAAAGGAATTCATAATTCTTTAATATTCTCTAAATTTGACTTAAAATCAGGATATTACCAAATTTCTATAAAAGAAGAAGATAAATATAAAACAGCTTTTGTAGTACCCTTTGACCATTACGAATGGAACGTAATGCCACAAGGATTAAAAAAATGTCCTTAGCGAATTCCAGAATATTATGAATAATATATTCTATCCTTATATGAACTTTTCAATAGAATATCTAGATGACATACTAATTTTTTCAAAAAATATAACTGATCATGTTAATCATTTAGATATATTTACAAAAATCATGAAAGAAAATGGACTAGGAGTTTCAACTAAAAAAATGAAAATCTTTCAAACAAAAATAAGAATTTTAGGATATAAAATTTATCAGAATACCATAATCCCAATACAAAGATCACTAGAATTTACTTCAAAATTTCCAAATGAAATAAAAGATAAGCAACAACTATAAAGATTTTTAGGATGTATAAACTATATAGCAGAATTTATTCCTAATATTAGAACAATTTATTCACCATTATTCAAAAGACTTAGAAAAAGTCCACCAACCTGGTCAGAAGAAATGACACAAACCATAGTAAAAGTCAAAGAATTAGTAAAAAAATTGCCCTGTCTAGGAATCCTAGACCCAAATGCATTTTTAATAATAGAAACTGATGTTCCTGAGTTAGGATATGGAGAAATTTTAAAACAAAAACCTCAAGAGTCTTTTAGAGAACAAACTGTCAGGTATCATTCGAGTATCTGACATCCTTCTCAACAAAAGTATTTAACTGTCAAAAAAGAAATTTTGTCAATCGTTTTATGTTTACAAAGATTCCATGATTATTTATTCAATAAAAAGTTTTTAATAAGAACTGATTGTAAAGCATCACCAAGTGTTTTAACAAAAGATGTTCAAAACCTGGTTTCTAAACATAATTTTGCAAGATGACAGACTTTATTATCTTGTTTCGATTTTGAAATTGAACATATTAAAGGAAAAAATAGCGCTTTACCAGATTTTTTAACAAGAGAATTTTTACAGGAAAAATAATCATGAGTAAGAAGACAATAAGTAAAGATCAATATGGTCCCCCACTGGAATCACTAAAAACAAGTGTGTCGTTATCATTAAAACCACAAACTCCTCAATCTAAAACACAAGCAACCTTAGCAGAAATATTAAAAACTCCTCCAACAATATCTAAAAGCCCACTTTTTAATACATCAAATAGATTTACACCCTTACAATACTTCAATAACCTGATAGGACCAAAAGACTTTGCTTCTTCTTCTTCCTATAAAGCTTCCCAAGACCTTATCTCTAAAACTCAAACAGCTCACCCTCAAGATGATTACTTTATAAAACCCGAGACCTTATTCATTATTATCCTTGAAAAATCATGAATATTCCAGACTGCTAAATTAATAGCCCAAAACCTCTTCCCTAAAGAATTTCATTATTTACCAATAGATCTAAACAAGGATCGAACTTTTTATGAATTTATTCTAGTAGATACCGATTCTGTAGAAATTATACATAAAAGAGATGAACAAGATGTTATTCAATATTCAAAACTAAAAATTTTAAGAATTTTATCACTAGAAGATTGGAACCAACCACCTCATCACCCAAGAACCTTCTCCATAACTTTTAACCCTCAAAACTATAACTATTATGATTATATAGAAGCATGGTACAATACTTTTTATGTATATCCAAGGAACCATTCTTGGTTTATATGGTTCAAAAAAAAAATCTTCCTCAAATTTCCAAAATGGTTCATCAAATGCTTTACATACATGAGACTATTACCAACCATCTTTCTAACAAAAGTTCAAGAAGTTTATAATTACTTTCGTGAGAAGACATCATTTGAATCTTGATACAGACTAATCTCCTTCATTGCAACACAATCAATAACATGGATAGTAGCGTGAGATTTTATCATTGAACAACTTTATGAAAATGTAGACATCAAGGCATTATCTCGATAATATAAAATAAAATGATGGAAAATTTTCAATTTAGATATTATCAATAAACAAAGGATTGACATTTGATAGTCCAATTATCAACAAAGACAAGATAATAAGTCTACGTCAACATCAACTAAAGAGTCCTTATTTCTAGCTAAAAAACAGAGGTTTCCAGCATAAAAAAATAGAAAAATTGATCAAAGAAAAATCAACCACATCCAAGACGCTATCAGAAGAAAGTAGCGGACATTCAAATCCCTTTAGTATGTTTTATTGACCGCCATCAACCATTATCAAACAAAATTATAAAAGCAAAAGTCAAAAGTAGATAAAGGTAACATAGAAGACTGTTTTGATGTAACCGCACAAATAACAACGTCATTATTATAATAATTACATTGACATTATTAAAAGTATCTATGTAAATTACTAATATACTATACTCTTCCCTAAAAAAGTATAAATAAGACTTTTGCAAACTCACAAGACATAACAAGTTGTATGTTTTAAAAAAAAAAATAATTAAATTTTTTTTATGTTCTTCATGTACACAACTTCCTTTCATCATTTTTCAATGTAAGTTTTCTTTTTATTTTTAATGTGATTCAATATTTTATTATTCAATATTTTATTTTGATGTCATATATATATATATATATATATATATATATATATATTTTTTTTTTTTTGGTGTAGCACATTTAAACTTTTGTTTAACTTATTATACATCAATATTTTCTAGCCAACATTCGTGTGTTGAAATTACTAGTCTCAAAATATTAAATCTTATATAATTAAAAAAATAATTATTATTTAAAATTCACGATTAAATACATCAATTTTTTATAAAAAAAATAATAAAAATATGAATAAGCAATTATTATTTTATTAGTTACTCACTTGGCATGGAAATAAAATTATTTTTATTGGGATAAACAGGTAGCAGAAGGGGAGAATGAATTGAAGGAAGAAATTGGAACGAAGGATGTGGTCAACCGCGAAACCCATGCCACACCTGCACTTCCCACTCCCAATCTCATTCCCAAATAACCGCAATTGCATTTGCAGGTTGTCCATTTCAGCAACAAGCTCCACCAACACCGAAACCACCACTCTCACTCACACTCCAACTCCTAAACCCAAAACTAACTCCACGCTCAAGAAGAGGAAGAGGTATCGGAAGCTTTACCCCGGAGAGACCACCGGCATCACCGAAGAGATGAGGTTCGTCGCCATGAGACTTCGCAACGCCGCAGATTCCGACGACCAAGCGAATTTTGACGCGTGGCAGGCCTCCATGAAAGGCTTCCTCTCTTACCTCGTTAACAGCCACCTCATCTTCGCCACCCTCCAACGCATCGTAGACGAATCCGACAACGTTTCTTGTGAGTCCAATTCCATTTCCATTCCACTTAGTGCATTGCGCCTTCCTTTTCAAATCTAATTAATAATATTTTTAATTCTATTCAAATTGCTGTTTTCAAATCTAATTGATATTATTTAATTACTGCCTTTTTTTGTTGTTAAATATCAATATTACAGTTTTCATTTTTGAAAATGAGCTTATTCACATGAATATTAAAAAAATAAAATTTGAAATAATATATTAAAGAGTTTCTATAAATTAATCTTTCATGAACTAATTTTAACAAATACGAAATAATTTCCTTTTTGGCTGTAAAACCTTACTGAGAAATTCGTTTATTTATTTTTTCTTATTTTTTTCTTTACTAGAAGTCCCCATAAAAACAAATTGTTCAAATTAACTCGAGTTTACTTGTACACGAGCATGTGTGGATCAGCTGCCACAAAGGTTGTTCTAACTGAATCGGTAATCTCTAGTTTAAATCTTAGATGCATATTGGTATTAAATACTTGGAAGCAAAGTTTTGCTGCTTCTAATGATCCTGCTTAGCTTGAACAAGTTTGTCTGATGTGGAGAACATGTAGTTTACACCAAAAAAAGCACCACAAATGGCCAATCAACAAAATATTTAAAAATTAGATGGAATTAAAAGCATGATTGAGTTTTGAAATGGTCAAACTATGTACAATACCTTATAGCAATAATTATATTTAGGGTACTAGTTAAAGAATCAAAAGATAAAAAAAAAAAAAAGCTTTTACGAGAAAGTGTTATCAACATAATTCCACCGTGATTTTGATTGTAAAATTTATTTATTGGTTCCTTAATCATTGTCAGTTAAGGTAACTTTTATAGCAAGATTCATTATATTATTATTATTTGAAAATTGAAGTTTTGTCTCAATAATAATCTGTGTAACAATAATGTTGACGTTAAAAGGTAGTTATCCAGAGGGAACTTCAATTTTGATTGAAAACTAATACCAAAAACATTTTTTCTTAATAAAAAAGATTTAAATTAATGTTGAATGGAACCTTTAAATAACAGCCAATTATTTCTTTCAAGTGGACAGTTAAAAAGTGAAAAGTGGAACATATGTGATTTACTTTTTTTTTTCCAGTTTTCCATAGAGAAAAGGAATTGATTTGAATTTGTTATGATGGGAATTTCATGAATTTGCAGATGCATACATGAGGAAAACTGGGTTGGAAAGATCAGAAGGGCTTTTGAAGGATCTGGAATGGTTGGAGGAACAAGGAAATATGATTCCGAATCCCAGTTCTGCAGGGCTCACATATGCCAAATATTTGGAGGAACTTGCAGAGACAAGCGCACCCCTGTTTCTCTCCCATTTCTACAATATCTATTTTTCTCATATAGCTGCTGGTCAGGTCATTGGAAAGAAGGTCTGTGTACTCACTTCCCTTTCCTCTGTCTTAAAAGTTTGTTGTGAGGGAATACTATCACATGTTCCCTTTATTTGTAGTTCCTTTCCCTGTCTATCCATTTGAAAAAATAATGCCTCAGCAAAATACATTGTCGTTTAAAAAAAATGATTTTTCTCAGCTATCATTTTTCAATTAGAAAGACTGGGGACAATTAAAAGAGAGAGGTCAGGAGGTCTCATGAGTGAGTGATGGATGTAATCAGTGGATAATTTAATCATTTAATTATATTATTTTTTAATAAAAGTGAAAGCAGCATTTTAAAGTTGATTGCATAACATGCTCCCCATAAGAGAGATTTACTGCAAATAGATTGTTATCATACAGTAAATCAAATTTTAGATGTTGAATTCATGATTATGGGGTTGAGGAGAAATTTGAAATAACATTTTTATTTTACTAATAGAAACTACGCATGAAAGTTCTACTGGTACGTTTTACTCTCTGATCTCTCTCACCTACTCAAGTGCCTAACACTAACAGCAATGTGGTTTTGGTACTCAGCATTTTAACTCGCTCACTATTTCTCTCCTACAGTTTGATAGTCAGATTGATACAGAATTCTCATACAAGGGCCAGGCCTTTTATAGGATAAACCTAACTGTAAAATAACAAAATAGACGTACTGAACAATAGCTTGGTGTTCAATTTTACCCATTATAGGCCTCTACAAACACATGCAACCTTGTAGAAATGAATATTTATTGTTACTTTATGATATTAGTTGGTGTTGAAGTTCTGTAGCCAACATAGAATCGGAAGTAAGGAATTCCTTATTCAAAGAATTCAATTACGTACTATTGTGAAATCATCTGGGGTTGCTTGTCATTCTAGTATTATTGCTTTTAGGTTTCTGATATGCTCTTGGAAGGTGAGGAGTTGGAGTTTTACAAATGGGAAGGAGATGTACCTGAATTGTTGAAAGATGTCCGCGATAAACTCAACAAGCTTTCTGAGGTTGATTACTATGAATGCTACTATTGTGGCTTTATATAAGATGTTATGTCATTCTTATTTTTGATGTGAGATCGTGATTCATGCAGCATTGGTCTCGAGATGAGAAGAATAGATGTTTAAAAGAAACTCCAAAGGCATTCCGGTTTATGGGACAGATTGTTCTTCTTCTCGTCTCATAAATAGACATTTTGTTCTTCTCCTTTTCTTTTCTGAACTGCACTGCCTTCTTTGATGGTAAGATTTGTAATATTTTCCTTTTCTTCCTTTTAACTTCTCGAATTCCTGGCTTTTAAATGATGGAGCAGGGGCCACCCAACTTATGTTGGATACGTTTTTAGACTATTAAGATAGAAATGTTTTTGCTACACTTTTAATGCACACAAGTATCTCACTTCTGTGTCAAGAAAAAAGAGAAGTATCTCACTTACATTGCATTGCATGCATAATTTGTGAGGTTGTATAATTGGACTATTGTGGTCGTACCATGTCCCATGTAGCTTTGTCAGATATTGGTTTGTTGGAGGGATTTAAGTGAACTGTAGCTTGGAAACCATCACTTGTTTTTCCTATCAACAAATATTTCTAATAATACACTCCACTAGTCCTTGATTATAAGTATCGATCAAACTAGTCCGATATAAATGAACAAATTTAGAGTCTCACTTTTATAACTATTATTCAATTTAGTCTTTGAAATTAACACCATCGATCACTTTGGTCTTAATGTTACAAAATCAGTAGTTTAGTTCTTTAATATGACAATCATTATTGCAAATTTGGTCACTAAATTTGACAACTAGAAGTCAATTCAGTCTCTAGTGTTAGGACCAAAATTGAATGATGTACACCAAAATTAAGATCTAATTTGTAGGGGTGTGTTCCCGTACGGTACAGTTCGAACTGAACCGCTTCATGAAATTGGTTTAGTGTGAACCAAACTGTTTCCAAAAAGTGATTTGGTTAGTTTTTTTTCAAAACTGTTTGGTTTGTTCAAAACAGTTTGGTTTATTGCACACTCTGTAGTGAACCAAAGACCATCAGTTATCAATGTTTGGGAATAAATTGATAGATCCTTAATGTTAGGGCTAAAATTATTGGTAATTATTAATATCAAGGACTATTTTTTTTTTTTTTTTCATTATAAACTCAAATGACTGCTGATTATAAGTCTACGGACTATTTGATGGTTTTCTCTAACTGCTACAACTATCATGTCTCATAATGCTTTCAATGTTATGTAGCTGCCTGGCCAATGTGCCATACATCTGTGATGGATTTGCAGAGTCTTTTTTATAAGGATTTTTAAGGACATAGCACAAGGGAGAGAGACTCACTTTTTTTAATTATAGAGGTGGAGCACAATAGGTACTACTTCAGTTTCATGAATCTTGATCGTACTAAATACTAATGTTTACCCTCATATTGTATCCATAATTTCCTACTCACTCTTTTCCATACCTGTTGGTTAATATTTTTTTTAACAATGCTTTAAATCCATTGTAATTTAAATACTATGAAAATTTCATTTTAGACTTCCATTATGCTCCCTTTAGATGGGGATTGGAAATCCATGAAAAATTCCTTTAGTTTTTGTACGGTGTAAAATTGGCAAGGTGTATGTATGTACACGACTAAAGGTGACCTTTTGCGTAGGTGCATTTTTTTCTTTTACCTGTTTTGTCGGCAAAAACCTTACTCTTTGCTTTAATTCATGTTGGTAACATCAAACAAGTTAACCATGAACCTTCCATGGTGGAAAATATTGAATAGTTTGGAAGATTTGTGCGTTTACTTGTTGCAACATCTGTTGTTTTCTTTGACTTTGTGCGGGTTCTATTACAAGGAAATTTACTTAAATATTTTTTAAAGACTTAAATTTGGAATTTTTTTTTCAAATTTAATGTTGAAAATTTTAGTTTTTATAATTTGAAAACAGATACATTTTCTATTAATTTTTTTTGTCTAAACGTTTTAGAAATTCACTAACGTGGTTAATTAAGTTTGTTCTTGCCTAGAAACATAATAGGTCTCCAGTGCTAGGTTAGAGTAATTGATAAATTTTTTATCTTCAAAAGAAGATTTCTTTGGGAAGATTCTACAATGATTAAATCAATATCAATAGATAAGAGAATAGTATAACAGTATATAACGAGAAAAATGTAATCTATGCATAATCAACTGTGTTTTCATTCTCATATGATCCCTAGTATTGTTTATTTTTAACTAACAAATCATATAATTTGAGAAATTTATTATCGATTGTTTGAAAAATTTATGATGTTTTATGTTAATCAAATTTATTATTAATATTTATTGTTATAGAATATTTAATGACCTTTATTAATTGTCACTAATTTTATGTAATATTAAGTTCAAAATCTAAGAATATAAAAAAATAATGAGTTTTTTTTGTAATGTTTTCTATTTTTTCTAGGCAAATATTATTGTTATGTTTTTTCTAAGTTATAGACTAATAAAGTTTTGTTAATGTTGATATGTGCTCCATTTGTAATTTTGGTCAATATGTGCCCGATTTAGATTTTTGGTCATGGTGTGCTCAATTTAGGATTTTCATTGTGTTTGATCTAGATTTTTGAGTAGATATGCTCAATCTAGATCTTGGATTGAGGTGCCTTTGAGCTAATGACTAATCATTTGAGGCGGTTGAGGCACATTAAATCCTTTGAACACAATGATGAGGGGTTTTAATATTTGAAATATTGTATTTATTGGGTTGTTGTTAAAGGTTCTCGCAAAGAGTTATTTGTTTTGGTTAGGTAGAAACATTTTTTTTATGTGCATAACATTCCCCCCTTTTGTATGAAGGGAAACTATACCACTCATTTTCTCATGCCATTTTGAAGTCATTATCATCTTCTCTCTCGAGTTTCATCTTTTGGTGTAACCCTTTTTGTTTTAGGTATATCATTTTATTTTGTCCGTTATCTTTTATTTTACTTTGTTGTTTGTTTTACCTGCATATAATATTTCTATATGTTTATGGTTTCTCTAATAGCTCTAATGGTTCGATATATATTGAATCACTTTTGGTTAAGCAAGAAATTTAACCTATAGACATGAGTCCATCGAAGTATAAAGTGTCTTTAACTTTTCTAATAGTTCCTCCCGTGGGGAATATGTCAATGAGTCTGAAGCCACTTTTTAAAACCCTCCTTCTATGGATGTCATTTTAGCTTTCAAAACTTTTGGAGAAGTTATTGAAAGGGAGTAGGTCCCTTTCCCTTATTCAAAGGAAGCTCAAAGCCCAAAAGATGGGAATCAGGTTCGAGCACCACTAGGATGAATAGAAAGTGCAAGTTTTCTTTGATCTTGAATCTTGAGTACAATTAAGTACTCGATGAGGTGAATCATTAATCTTCTGACTTCACCTCATCTTCTTCTGTGGAAGGTCTCTCTAAAGCATTCCATATTTGCACTTATGGATGTCGAGTTTGTTCTTGCCCAAACTTGCTTGATAAATTATCGTGTATATATGAAATTAGGATTAAATGGCAATGACTTTTCCTTTGTGTACAAGTACCTCTTCAAGGATTTGAACATCCTAGTCCCTTTTTTTTATTTTGAGTACAACATGTTATCCACTATTTGTGTCACTTTTAATCAATTTCATCCTAATTGAATATTCTTGAAAGTCTTTCAATTCTTGTGTAGTCTTTTACATATTACTCCCACTATAAATAAGTTCATCATTTTTTATCAATTTAAACACGATCAAGAGATCGCTTGGGTCTCTATGGATTTTAGTATGAAAGCTTGTTATTCTTTTATACTTATTTTAAAAGCTCTAGAACTTATTTCTTTAAAATAGAATATGCTCAAGATGGTCCTACCAAACTAAATGGTCTAAAAGTCCTTAAAAGAAGAGGTTCACTCTCTCTAACTATCTTCCTTCTTCGATAGCTCAAGCAGCGTCACTGAGCATTAAAGAGAAAAACTTGTAGTCAATTTCGGAGGTAGCTTCTTATGGAAACTTCCTGTTTCCAAATTGGTATCCTTCTCTAACAAACATACCTTGAGTATCTCCTCCTCCTCATGGATTCCACATATTATGTTGTGAAGTTCATTTATAACATAATGGGTTTGGTCTTCGTCTTTACATTTCAACAATGGGGAAGAGAAACCCCTGTTGAATAAGTCGACATTGTTAAGGATAAATAATATTGAGCTCTTCCTCATCATTTTGGCATCCCCTTGGTTAATCGATGGAGTATCATTCATCAAATAATTGATTATTAGGGTCATCAAGGTTGATTTTGTGGGGTCAATATGAAAAGTATCATGACCCTAGTTGGGACAGGTTTGCATTTCTTGTATAAGGATTCGATGTTGTCTAGATTTTTTTTACTAATAAGCCTTGACAAAACATTAACTCTATCATTTTGTTCACGAGGAACATGCTCTATGGTTAACTTCTCAAAAACATACTCTAAATTTTTGGTAATGTGATAGTAACTCTATATAAAGGGCTACTTTGCTTGAAATTTACTTGTGGTTTGGTCAATGACAAGCTTGGGATAAGCTCAACATGGCAATTGTTTCACTTATCACTTTAGTTAGTTTCAAACTTGTTGTCAAGATTTCATTCTACGCTTAATTGTTTGAGATTTTAAACTTAATTTTAAAGCTTATTCCAATATCCTATTGTCAAGTCTTTCAAGAATAATTCATGCTCCATTTCCTTTCTTATATGATGAACCATCCACATTTAAAGTCCATCACTCATGTTTCTCTGCATGAGAGGGGATCTCGACTAAGAAATTAACTAATAATTGGATTTTCACTAGTTTACGACTTTTATAAGTTATTTCAAACTCTAAAAACTTTATTAATCGGACTATCATTCTCTCCGTAAGCTAGGTTTTTGTAGCATTATCTTAATGGGGTAGTTAGTTAGTGAAAAACTTTGAGAGTATTGTTCCAATCTTCTGGCTAAATTGGCAAGAGCCAAGATCCTATTACCAAATATATGTTTTTTTTTTGTTGTTAGTGAAATATACAAAATGTTGCTTATTACCTTCATTTTAGAAGAAGATCAAGCTTAAGGTTGATCTCGCCACATCCAATTACAAAGGAAGAATTGAACCTAAAGGTGGGTCAACGAGTATTAGTAGGCATGCAATGTCCTACTTTATTTAATAAAACATTTTATCACATTTTT